TGGATGTGAACTCATTAGTTGAAGAAGCAATCTCTGTCAAGTTTTTGGGTAAAAGTTCCAATGATCACAGTCATTACCATGGAATTGGCTTGTGGCTGTTGACTTCTTTCATTAACCATTCCTGCGAACCGAACGTGAGACGCTCTCACGTTGGTGATCATGTCTTAGTTCATGCCTCTAGAGACATAAAGATGGGAGAGGAGCTCACGTTTGCGTATTTTGATGTGCTTTCGCCCTTAGAGACCCGACAGGGAAAGGCCAAAAGCTGGGGGTTTGTCTGCAAATGCAAGAGGTGCAAGATAGAGGGTGGGAGTGTTCTGCGTTCCAACCACGAATTGCGGGAAATCGAAGTGTTCTTGAAGAGGGGTTTGGGGTTGGGTGTGGGGGAAGTGGTCTACAGATTGGAGGAAGGGATGAGGAGATGGGCAGTGAGGGGGAGGGTGAAAGGGTATTTGAGGGCATCCTTCTGGGGAGCTTATGCAGAGGTTCTTGAATCAGAAAAGCTGAAGAGGAAGTGGGGAGGCAAAATCCCCCCAAACGAGACTCTCGTGGACAGTGTGGTGAGCGCCGTGGGGTGCGACGAGAGGATCGCGAAGGTGGGATTGGGAGGAATGAAGAGAAACTGTGGGGTTTTGGAGATGGACCAAAGGGCATTGAAGCTGGGGAGAGGGTTGTATGGGAAGGTAATGAAGAAGAAACAAGCATTGAAGTGTCTTCTTAAGCTTGATGGCCTTTCATGAATGAACTAAACCTTTACAGGTAATAACAGATGCTTTAAGCTTTCCATAGATAGTTTTTTCAAAGCAATTGTTGTAGCTCTATTATTACTTATTTTTCAATTGCATTTCTTACAATTTGGTTTTTTGTATTTCATTTCCACTGAATTATTTGAAACATGTAAATAATAAAACACTTTTGTCAAACCAAACTATGGTTCTTAGCATGTCAAGATAAGGTTAAAATAATAAATAATTAAGGTTAAAATTGTAAAGTTATTGTTACTTAGAAAAGTTATTCAAGAAGTTTCAACCTCAAATTATAGTTATCTGAAGTCCATTTACCAGACTTATAGTCTTCATGTTCCAAAGTATACCCCGGAGTAAGCTTTAGATCCAGTATCTATATTTTCTTTTCAAAAAATTATATTCAAAAAGTTATAATTATATGACATTTTGACTCAATTTAATGTAATTTGTATTTTTTATATTATAATTATATTCATAAATATGTATAAAATAATTGTTTGACTCATTTCTTTAGCGAGAAAATACACCGCACACCTTTTTACAAAAAGACTTGTGTATTGATGGAAGCATTAGCAAAGAGGACACGACATTGAAGAACTATATGAATTTGGTTAATTATAATAAAAATAAAGTTACAGAACTATATGAATTGAAGAACACGATTATTGCCCACCTTAACTATTAAGCTGCTGCTATATCTGATCTGCAGCTTGAGTTTGATGATGATGATTATGAACATTAATCTTCTCGACTCTATTACCCGAATGATCAATCATCGTAGATCCAACATGCGAATACGAGATCGAAATGTAGCCAAGGACGACTTGCCGATCCACCAAAACAATATAGTCCAATAATACATTAAAAAAAAAAAAGAGAAACAATATAGTTTTGGTTATCGGCAAATCATCCTTGGCTGCATCTCACATTCTCATATCAACATGTAAGGTCTAGGATGATGGTGATGATGATGATGGTGGTGATGATTCATAGAGTTTTTTCTTTAAAGAAAAAAAAAATCAATTTTCACCATCTCAACTTTCAAGAATATATGAAGGAAAGTCCATTGCATTGGCATGTATATATATAAAGAGATGTGCCACTCCTTTAGGGCTGTTTGGCAATCAGATATATCAATGCATAGTTCTTTTTTTCTTGGGCATTTTTTTGTCACAAAAACAATTCCACTTTACAAATGTATTAAGTTTCAAACTATTTAGAGAGCTTTTATGGGTCTATAAAAAATTTGATCTTTCTAATAATTTTTTCCTAAACAATTCACACAAATATTTTAATAGCTAATAACCAATCGCCAAACAGTCTCGAGACATGTTATTGATACCTCGTAACCTATTAAGAACTTGTTTTTCTCATACTGTATTGATTTTAACTGATATTTAAAAACAAAAATCTTGAATCTATAAGCGGGAGTCTGTATGAGACTTCCCAAGTTTCAAATTTCAATGAATCAAAAAATAATTTATTCACATGTATTCTCTCTATCCCAATTATTTTTTATCTAATTTAACTTTCTCGAAATTATATTTTTTAGAAAATAAGTAGTAAGAATTATAAGATTAGAACCGATCTGTTTTCAATAAAGAAAGATTTTGTGAGATACATGTTCATTAGCAAAACAGAAAATCAAGTAAAGTATGTTTGGCAATATATAGTCTCAAGGTTTAACTTTAACTTTTTGAAATAAAAAACTATTTAACGACTTATTAAGTTGTAGCATTTTTAAAATTAATATTACACCAAAAAAAATACAAAACATTAACACAAAAATAAAAAAATCCAAGCAAAGCAAAATTATTTTAGAGACGTTCAATACTAAAAAAACAACAGAGAGAGAATATTTTTACAGCAAGATACTGACATTAGTAGTTGGAAATAATGTGACAAGAATAGCATCATCACTTGCTATTTTTGGAAAGAGTATCTTTTTTTTCTTTTTTCTTTTTTTGCCTCGATTTGGTAGAAGAAAGGGTCCAATTGCAATGGAGGGTTCCCAAGATGATGAAATTAAAGACTGGTAAATTTATATTATTATCACAATAAATTTATATTTCAAAAAAAACAATAAATTTATAAACAAGTTGTGGATATAGCAGTGTGTGGGTCACAATTATTTACACTATTTTGGAGCAAACAAATAAAGGTTGGTGGTGGTGCCACTCTCCTTCACCCACTCCCCACATTCCTCACACATCTCTAATACTCTCTTCATCCCAAAAAAATTGTTACGTTTAGAAAAAACTGTGTCCCGTAAAGTTTGTTACATTTCTATTAAAAAACCACTTTTACCCCTTACTTTTTCATACCCTACCTATCACATCATACCTTTTTCCTAATAATCTACCCATCACATCCTACTTTTATCCATCACATCAAGAGTATTTTTGGAAAGTCAATACCAAAATATCTCTCCCTTAATTTCCCAAAAAGTCAAATCGTCCCATTCTTTTTGGGACGGGGGAGTATCATGTTAGAGAATTAATTAACCAAAAACTTATCGAGTTTGTGGTTATGGTCTAAGAATGATTTTTATATGTATACTCTAACAGAATTGAGAAATACTTATAGCCTCAAGAGTGATGTTAACGTTAGAGATATTGTGACCTTGAGCATGCACGTGATAAGTCGTTCTTTGTCACGCATATATATGGGCTTGGAAAATTCTTGTAATGTAACATCTCAATTCAGCTTGAAATCCGATTTGGCCTGCACTTTGATCAGGTCTAGTTTACACTATTCTAAGCAGACCAAGAAAGTAATCGAATGTTAATTACTTCCATAAACATTATTTTTTAAAAAAAAAATCTTATGAAAAAAATCTACAAAAAATGATGTGAACCTTAGATTTATTACGGATAACAAGGATAGTAGAAAATACATTATTATTATTGTTGTTGTTGTTATTACTATTACTATTATTATTATTATTTACTTTCTTTTTCTATTGTTACCATAATTTCTTATTCTACATTGATTAGGTTATTCATGTATTCTCTATATATATTGTTCAAACATAATCTTCATTATTCAATAAAATAAATTATTATCTAATTGTATAATGATATCATTGTTAAAGTCTTTCTTTTCAAAAACTTATACGAAGTATATCTCTTTTCTTTTGATAGTGTGTCATAGCTCGTCTTCATTGTCGACAGTCGACTGCCACAGATCATGACATCGCCATCCCTAATTCCTCTCTTCTCTCCATAAATTATGAGCGTGTCTAACAGTCACTGTCCTTTATCCCCATCACTCACAAAAAAATGGGTGCGTGACCGAAGAAATAAGAGGCTTTATTTGTTAGTGTTTCTTCTGAAGGTCAAGAATATGAAAAAACGATAAAGAAGCAGAGAACGGCCCAGAATGAGAAAAAAGAAACTCATCTTCCTCACTTTAACAAACTCAACAAACATACTCTCATCTTCCCTAAACAAACTCAACAAACATCCTCTCAAGCTCGTTTGTATGCGACAAATATCTTCATCTCTACTGCTAGCGGTTATCCTTACAAAATGACTTTTACCGACATCATTTCAATACTTGTGTTCCAATCTGCTCCTCGTTAGCAATGATCAGCTTGTAGTGATGAGTATTTGGAATAATAAAGATAATAAGAAATAGAGTATTATTATTATTATTATTATTTGTTCTTATTGTATTGTTATCATAATTTTATATTTTACTTTAGTTAATATTCTCCATGTATTCTCTATATATTGATGTAATCTTCATTATTCCATTTCAATAAGACTCTGTTTGATACACGGAATTCAAATTATGAAATTAGAAATAGGAACAATGATTCCAATTCTGTTGTTTGGTTGCACAAAAATATGTGGATTTGGAATCAGTAGTGCCAAAAATGAATTAGAGTTGGAGAATTCAATTTTATCCAAATCAACTCCATAAAATTTAAATTTGTAATTCAATTTTTAATTTTTTACTTTTTTGTTTTTATTTTTTGTTTTTTTATTAACTAAATGATACTCTATCTGTCTAAATTAAATTACTACGTATATGTTTACTACTTACAAGTTCAACATTTATTTATTTTCTTTTCCTTATTTTCATTACTTGTTTGATAAAATAATATAATTATGACACATTTTATTTTGTAGAGTTTTTTTTATAGTTTTTTAATAAATAAATTTTGTTGTTAAATTTCACCCCAATTTTCAAATAATTGTTATTTGAAAATAATTTCAATAACTCCTGTGGCAACTCTAATTCGATTCACCATTGAACCGCCGTCCTCGCGCCGATTCGCCTCCGGGGAGGGCGTGTGAGAGCGTCCGGAGAAGAAGACGAAGAAGAAGATTTGATCTTTCGATTGATGGAAATGCCAAATTTCCACTCTAAAAAGCATCTCAGGTATCTCAATCTCAATCTCTTCCCTGCTTATTATTGCTCCGTTCCTTTTCGCCGCCTTCATAAACCCTATTCATTCCCAATCCAAGCAATCCCTTCTGCAATCCGGGACCTGGATCTTAGTATATCTAGGAACAAATCCTATTCGGGCAATTCCTCATCGGAATCGCCCTCGAAATTTCATCCGATTCTCCAAAACCTCCGTTTGTCCAGTTCTTCTTCTCGAGCACCTTCAAAATGCAGTGTTGATTCATTCTCTACCTGTAGATTGTTTAGTCCGAGTTATGTATCTGCATTTCGATGCTTCTCTGTTCAGCATCATCATGATAAGAAAACGGAGAGTTTAACTACTGCTGCTGAGGGTGAAGAATCCAAAAGAAACCGAAATGAAATTAGGAATAATGTCAGTAATGAGGCTGCACATATCATTGAGATCATTAGGAGTGATGGAGAAGATTTGATGTCCAAGTTGAGCTCTATGGCCTCTTGGCTTGATTCGAAGCCGATTATAATGGGTACTCTTAATGGTTTGAATCAGCTCAGGATATCTGGATTGAGTTTCTTCAGAATTCTAATGGAGACGAATCCTCAGTTGTGTAGAAGTGGTGATATCTGCAGCCTGATCATCAACAACTGTGGATGTTTGGGTGATTACGAAGCAATGGTTTCTCTGTTGCAGGAATTCAAGCTGCAAAAAATCTGTCTCAATCGAATGGCATTTGAGTTTTTGCCTGTATCTGAACCGGACAAGGATGATCAGATGGAGTCTACAAGAAGAGTGATTGACGTGTTAAACAAAGTTGGTGGATCGTGCCGTAACTCTGGAATTTCTGCATTGATAGACAGGTTTTGTTCTTTGGGATCTCCCCAAACTGCAAAATTCGTAATGGAAAACACAGAAAGGACAGTTCGTCGATACAATATTTTGATCCGGGCGATGTGTAAACGAGGGCAAATCAAAGAAGCACATGCCACCATCGAAGAGATGCGCGAACTCGGTTGTCCCCCAGAAACCAACACATACAACTATCTGATTGCATACTATTGCAGGCATAACAGAATGTCTGAAGTGTGTACCCTTCTCAATGCAATGAAAGAAAAAGGTTTTCGTCCTGATGCAATAACATTGGAAGCCATAATATGTCACGCGGCTACTCGACACCATTTCGGTGTTGCTTTCCAGCATCTGGACTTGATGGTGCATCTCAATATCGAACCTCGGCCATCTACTCTCTCAGTGCTTCTGAATGTGTTGTTCTATACAAACCAACATGAGAAAGCATACGAATTTGTAAACGACATGGCTGCCAGGTTTAAGACCTCGAGCAATTCTCTTTACAACTTGCTTGCAAAGCTTCATCTGAGAAATGGAGACCCTGTCATTGCCAAGAACATCTTGAATGAAATGGTGGCGAAAGGGTTAGTGCCAAAACACTCTATTCGTTTGAAATGTGAAGCCATTAACAGACCGGTTTGACCGTAGCATTGGAGTCGGATTGAACCACCACTTTTATTTTTTGCACAATGTCTTTTTGTTAGTTCTAGCACGCGATGGCGTGTGACTTCTTGATTGAGTCATTATAGGACTTGCATTTTGCCATTTTTGTCTAAGTTGTCTTGTATAATGTGTTGATTATGCTGACTGACTTATCAGAAAACTGTCCCAAAACATAGCAAATGGAGCTAGAGGACAACTCTACAACATTTCATATTTGTTTATTTTTTATACTTTATTTTATGAAAAAATCCCTTCATTATATGTAAGTTTTTGTGCCTTTATAGGTATGTCATGGGATTAAACTAATTAGTTCTACCTGTCTTGAATGGCTATTTATTTAATTTATACAATTAGACTTGCCATATTTCACATTTGGTCCAAGACTTGTAGGCTATGTTTAGCACAACAAAAGATAGCTTATGCGCATAAGCCTTGTTTGGCTGGAGGGGTTTATTCCATAAACTTGGGCTTAATTCAAAAGCTTTCTATTAGCGTTTCAAATATGCTACATGAGCCCATCCTATTTCATTTTAACCTCTATCATTTGTAAACTAATGATTCAATCACCCCTTTTTCAGTTGAATTATTCGAAAAACTCATTGAATTTCCTAAATTCTTATCACATAATACTCCAACCCATTTGGGGAATTCCTAATTCAATACCCTAATTAATTCCTAATCAATTTGGGACTGCGGGGTTATTATAAACTTTCTTTTATACGACAAAAGAAGTTAAATATGACTTCTTTTTCATCTCTTTTAAACTGATTTTGTTATTACATATTTCAAGACTATATCATAGTTATATAAAACAAGATTTGAGGTAATATTTTATTTTATCAAATGATCAGTAAAAATGTGCAAACAAATAAAATTATCGAAAATCAAGATAAATATAGGACGGAGGGAGTTTTTTCTATGTGCAAAAAATTAAGACATTATGATCATTTCTCTAGCTTGATTTCTTTTTTTTGGTCTACGCGAAAAAAGCAAAACAAAATAAAACTGAAAATATACTAATTAATTTATTTAATAATTGATTTATGAGTGTTGTTAAATATATAATTTTTTTTGTTAAATCCACTTCTTTTATAAAACATGGACACATTTACCCTTAAAGTATAAAAAGAAGAAGAAAAGACCCTAATTTAAGGAGAAAATTAGTGAGATGAATTTAGCAGAAAAATGAGTGAATGGAATGTATGTACCATTGGTCCACCATCCATCTATCCTCTGCCGTTCTTCTAAAGAATCTTTCAGGCCAAACTCATGAATCTTTCATTGATTTCACCATCATCAAGACTCCAACAGTGCTCCGCAAAGGAGGGTTTCCTGTAAAAGCCCTAGCTCTGCGAATTCTGTTTCTCATCGGCGCATAAGCTTAAATATTTGTGCAATGGAATCGTCTTCTTCGTCTTCGGTGATAACTCCGGAAGAGGTTTTGGAGACGATGATGAACGACGGTACAATTGATGCTATCCGATTGAAAATCATCACCCACCTCAAAGCCAATGTACTCTCAAAATCCCCAATTTTCTCAATTATTTCGATTTGAAAGTTTCATTCTTTAGATCTTTTTTTTTTATTTATTTCGTGATGTTTTGCTGCTTGACACATACGATATGTATATTGTTTGAACAAAAAAACAAAACTTTTGTATAAAAATTGTTTTTCTTCTGGTATGTAGGGAGACCTATGTTTATGATTATTGGTTGCTGATAAAACAATGGTTTTGATCTGTTTAAGGAAGAACTGAAGAACACAACCATAAAAATGGTGGAACAGAGTAAGGTTCTGAACACACCCGGGGCTGAGAAGCAGACGAAGAGGGAGCTTTTCGATGCACTTCGTCAAGAACTCGAGTGAGATTCCTCTTTCTTTTAAGCAATAATGTTTATCTTTTCGTTGGTCATTTTGCTTAGCTTGGGATATTGCCTACAGAGTTACAATACTTTCTGTGAATTCAAGATTCTATTTTGAAAATTGGGTTTACTTTTGATAAACGTTCAAATAGTTCCCATATATGATATGGAATTGTGGGTTTACACTCGCTCTTTCCACTATAGTGTTGAATGTATAGTATAGCATGAAAACAGATGTTTAAGAATAGTAATAGTTCATAATGAGCTCTAGTAAGACTAGTTTTACTGCATTACAAATTCATCGACAATGGCTCTTATGAGTAAAATAGTTGGGCAAAACTTAGTTTGTAGTTTTAGGTGATGTGTTTTTATGTCTTAGTCTGTAACGTGTGCTTGTGTGTTGTTTTTGCTTTGTACTTTATTTCTAGTTCTTAGAGATGGCTGGTATGCTTCTTTTGTCAATGTTCGTACTTTGTTTGTTCTTTACACTATGTTTGGTTCAAGAAATTTGGAAGGAAAATAAAAGAAAATAGTTTTCTCTCATTTTTTTCACAAAAATGAAAGGAATTTTGTTTCCCCTCTCCGTACATTTTGCCTTCTCGTTTTCTTTTCCTTCCACTTTTCTTTTCTTTTCCTCTCTAACCAAACAAGAAAAAACTGTTTTCTATCTCATTTTCTTTTCTTTTCCCTTTCAAATTCCTTGAACCAAAGATAGTATTAGTAGTTTCTTTGTTCGTACTTCTGTATCTGAGCCAAGGGTCTCTTAGAAACCTCTCTACTCCATAGTATGGTTAAGGTCTGTGTACACACACCTTCTCCATAACTCTTGAATTCTGTTGGGTTTGTTATTGTTGTTAATTTATTAGAAACAGCCTCTTCCTTTTCCATTTGTCCAAATTCATCTTTAAGTCGCCGTTTTAGGAAATAATTGTGTGGTTCAAATTGTGTCTTTGTCTAAATGACAATAAAAAATTAGTATGAACTGCACAATCAAATTGTGTGATTGTGTCTTTGTCCAAATATATCTCTATCTCATGGTTGGATTAAGGTCTACGCACGCACACCCTCCCCACACCCTATTGTTGTGGGATTTTACTGGGCTTGTTTACCGAGGTTTGCATGTTTAAGGCCTTGTGTTTATTCACTCATGTTGATAGTGTACTTATGGCATGTAATATTTGACAGGACTTCGGTGCTTGAGAAAGCTTCAAAGTCAGTTTGGGAGCTCATATTGGATCATAATGGGATAGGAAAGGAGATAAGTGGGACAGTTGAGGACGTGTTTTGTCGTTTGAGTGGTCGCGAACCGCCATTGTTTCCTGCAGCCAGTGAATCCAAACCAGAGAAATATGATAGCGACGCGGAAGGGAGGGAAGCCGAGAAGAAGGGTAGTTCGGACATTTCGTCAAAGAAGAGAAAACTCCATGATTTGGGGAAGAATGCTGAAGAGGTAGAGGGAGGCGGCATTGGTGTTTCTGCTCCCAACACATCACATGACAATTCAACACCTGAAGCAGTTGATGACTCCTCCAACACCAAAATGCCCACGCCAAGCACGGCAAAACCATAAGATTTAAGGTTTGGGTACCCCCAATTTCGACGCCACTCTTTTTTGCAGATATTTACAGACATGGAACACTGCTCATCTGCAAGAAAGGGGTGTCGGAATTTGATACCCCTTAGCATTATATATCTTTTTAGCCTTAACGCATTGATGCCCGATTGTCGCCAATGTTTTTTTTTTCTCTTCCCGCTAGGGCCGGTCCTATAAAATTTGTGGCCTTGAGCACTAGAGTTGTTTTTGCCTTGTGCTATTATGGGTTTTTGAGTTTTAAGTAATAACCATGCATCTTTTAGACTCTAACCTTTATCTTTTTTACAATTTAGCCTCTTTATTTATCAAATTATTATCTTCATCTAAGAGCACCAATTACAAAACTGGATTTATATCATTAGATCATACTGGGTTACAGAAGAAAGATGCATGCTTTAATAGCCAAAACTAGGAAATAAAGATTCAACCTTGCAAATAATAATAATAATTATAAAAATAATAATAATTATAATAACTAGGAAATAAACTTTCAGCTTAAATTCGGATGGTCTCTTAGCATGTCCATCATCATTCATTTCCAGCTCCTCATCACCATCATCATCATCATCATCATCCATGCCAATGTTTGTGTCGCCATGCTCAGCTGGCAGTTGCAATGCTTGTAGAGTTTGATATTTCTTTTCTATCATAAAAAAGGATGAGCCCTATTAGTAGTGGAGGACTCTTGAGAAAGTATGATGTGAAAGACGGAAGCTGAGAGGATCACGCCATCTCACTTAGCATTACGTCAGTTTTTTTCCTATCGCAACCCATGACATCACATGGGTGTGGATCACAACCCTTTTTTTTTTAGTGTGGAAATTTGAAGTGGAGGAGATGGTTTAAATAATAGAAAAACAAAACAAAAAACCAAAAAAAGAGGAAACTAGCAGTTTAAACGGCTAGTTTGGGGGAGGAGAGCGGCATGGTGACCGTGATAGGCATCACCAACATCATAGTCACCTTACAGGGGTTGGTCTTCCACGCGCACCAGATGGCTATCACGGCGCACTACGGCCACCCACACCCCATGGCCTTAGAGTAAGGTGAGAAAAAGAAGAGAGAAGGGAAGGGGGAAAGATATTGCTCCGGGAAAAGAAAGAAAGGAAAATAATAAAAGAAAGGAGGAAGGAAAAAAGGAAAAAAACAAAAAGGGAAAAAAGCAGAAAAAAAGATTTTTTTTTACAATGATAAAAAAAATACAAGCATAATTTTTTTAATATTTTTTTTATAATAAGTTATCTGTCAATTATAAATTACAAAAATATAAAGTAAAACTTGTGGTACATATGTTTTTATTCAAACACAAAATATAAATTTCAGTTATTTCTTTACAAAAAAATTGAAGATAAATTTCAGTTATTTTTCTGCATTTTAACTCCCAACTTAGCATAAATGGACAATGTCACTGGCTCCAAGGACAACAAGATCAAAAGTACTTAAAGTAGGTTTAATGCCGATACAAAACGGGAAAGGCCCCGAGGCGCGCGATGGTCAAAACTCCAGACGAACTCCCAAGTCTAAAACGATCCAAAGTCGTATATACACAATCTATAAATGGCAGCAAAGCAAAGCCATTGACATTATTCTCATTCACCTCTCATCTCAAACTTCCTCTCTTCCTGCAGATCATCAGACAGTTAGATCAGCATATATAGTCTCCACCAGTACCCATTGTGCCACTCTGCATAATAACAAATCAACCATAATGCTACTTTAATCTCACGAATAACAACACCAAGCACTGGTGACATCAAGGTTGACACCACCAGAGACAATAGCGCACAGTCAGTCTTGAAGCCCATTTGGTCATTGTTTGGTGCATGGGAGTGATTGTGTCGAGTAATTACAAGGTGCAGATAACTCTATGATCCTTGTTTATTTAGATTTTTTTTAAATCTAGGTTGAAAAACAAAACATTGTCAAAAGTAAAACCAAATTACACATGGTCTTTATGGTCATGCTACACTCACACTACGGATGATACAAAGGTGCCAGCGTGAATGATTGTCCTTAGTGTCATCCATGGGATTTAAACTTAAAAGTAGCATTTCCCTTGTTTTTATTGAGTTCAGTTGTGTTTTTTGTTTGGTTTGGTTCAGATTAATCTGGTTAGGAAAAAGACCACGTATCTTTTAACGACGGTTTGAGTGTCATAGTATGACTCTAGGGCCCTATGGTGCTCCATTGGGTCCCACCCCTACAAAATCTCCCTCACCTTCCATGGGTTAGGGAGATAGGACCCACTCTGGAGTCCAAATGAGCAAAGTAAGACCCTCAAATGGTCGGTGTCATAATACGACACTCATGCTTGTTGCCAAAAGAACCTATCTCTCAAAAAAAATTACCAAAACCAAAACCTAATTACTCAAAGCCATCTTTTCCCCCCTGAAGAAAAGAAGTATAGCAAAAAAAATTCTTACCCAAGGAAAACATTGAGTTTCCGAGGCCATTTATTTATACTCAAAAGTGGGAGGGCTAGGAGTATCAAAACTCTCCAAAACCTTTGTCTTGCTCCCATTGTCCGAGCTTGTATCTTGTTTATTCTCACCGCCGCCAAACAGCCCTCTAAACCATGATAGAGATGACGAAGAAGAAGAAGAAGAAGAAGATGTCGACGACCCACCACCATCACCACCAATACCCTCCATGCTCACTGGAGCCTGACCTGGCAGTTGACCCATTGGAAATCCAGCCATATTTGGAGGAAGCGGTTCCTCCATGGGTGGTGGAAGATTCTGGGGAACGGTCAGCATTTTGTTTATCATGATCCCACACCCCTCAATCAAAGCAAGTAAGACGCCGCCAAGCAAAGCTGATCTTGAAGCGGGGCCCAGACCCTGACGCATCGAAAGGAACCCGCCAGTCGCGGCTCCGGCGATGATGGAGTTCCATGGATCCTCCTTCGCTCGGACGTAGACCATTGTACAGTCGAAGGTGGAAAATAGTCCGCCCCACACTGCGAAACTGCCGCCGACACGTGGCGCATTCATTCGGACCGCTTGGGTGGCAAAGACAAAGCGCTCTCCCTTGGGGGAACTGTACAATCCTTTCAAGAAGTGGAAGGCTGAACCTCCAACGGCACCCATGCCGAATGCCCCACCTACGTCGTCGAGGATGCGGTCAGGGCATGGCTCACGTGATGTCTCTGGGGTCCCCATGGTAACGACTGCTTATTAAAATTGGTGGCCAAATTTATAACAGTTTTCACCTGCAAGAACACACAAAATTTAAAGTGTGGGCATAAGTGCTATTAACAAAAGGGTTTTTATATAAACATCAAGTCTTATAAGGTGCTTTTCTGAGATAAATCACTAATGAAATTCATTCCAATATAGCCATCAAACAACAACAAAACTAGTAGAATCCCAAGTAGGGCCTGGGAAGGAGGTATGTGTATGCAAACTTCACCCCTACATGGGAGTAAAAAAGGTGTTTCCAAGAGGCCTCCGGTTCAAAAAAGAAGAAGAAACACATATACCGACTCAGACAACTAAACCGACAACCCACGAGCACAAGCAGACTAAGACATAAGAACACACAAACCAAAAATACAAACTTGGGGCCACAAGTCTACCCAACTACTCTAACCATGGAACGATAGTAAAATAACCATTAATTATTTAAAAAAAAAATTAACTTGATGGTAGTGCACTTTTTCCATTTACCAAACACTTCTTTTTATGTGAAAAATAAGTATACCTCTAAAACTCACTTATTTCTTGGAAGTAAGTCATCCCAAACTCGCTACAGATGAGAGTTTAGATTGTTGGATATTAGGATAAATCAACTAAGTGATAATTTTTAATCCTTCCAATTTCCCACATCACTCCTCTATGAGAGTGTTTTTGAACACTTAATTGTTTGCGCATTACTTTATTTTACATGGATTTTTCAATTTAAGTGTTTGGTAGTAGAAAATTTTGCTTGTATACACACTTTTTAGAGCTTCTAAAACTCATAAGCCAAAAGCTAATTGTTACATGGTTAAATTTTTACTTAATGCTCGTTTTAAAGCAGCTTCTACATTTTGTCCTCATTAACAAAAAAAAACTTTGGTGTTTAGAGACAACTATGTCTTTTACAAAAAAAATCTGCACTTAATCAATTTTGGTTAGCAAACTCAAAGGTAATTAAGCAGAAAATTGATTAGCACTTAGCAAACAATTCTCATATACATATGACTACTAACAACCTAACATTGACAGAACACTTTAGCTTGGAAACAGACAAAGTAAATTCAAAGAAAAAATCTTCAAGAAAATTATACTAATCTCTAACAAAAACAACAAAAACCCAATGAAGAAAAATTGCTACGCAAATCATGTAGAGCTGAGAACCCTGAGATACAGACACATAACAATACAGCTTCAAATCTTGAAGAATCATTCCAACCTGTTATAATTAAACCAGAGAAAAACAAGACATTGATCTCATGCAAAAAACCCAACACTGCACAAATTTATAAACCTGAGTGCAAATACAGAAATAAAGAACTCAATTTGTTAAGCCCCCTTCAAACAGACCTCCAAAGAAGGCTGTTGAAAAATGAAATCAATGCTCAGACTGGGCGGCGGAAGAACTAAAAACTTACAAGGGAACGCGATTTTATAATGAGTGAGCAGAGAGATTTAGATTTTAAAAAATAGATCGAAGAGACGAATAATCAAAGGATGAGGAATATTACTGCTTCACTCGTATTGCTCACGCAGGTCGAACGAATGGAGACGATGATGAACGAGGGAGTTGAAAAGCATTAAAAATGGCTCCTTTTTTCGGGTTATTTAAGATCCAATATATAGGGTTTGCCTTTGGAAAGGGTCGGGTCAACCACCCAAATTTAGGAACACTTAAAATTCACCTTCTTAAAAAAAGTAAAAAGAATTGGCGTCGCCCGGGTTTGAACCGGAGACCTTCAGTGTGTTAGACTGACGTGATAACCAACTACACCACGACACCTTGTTGTCTGTAATCTGTTCGCGTAATTAATAATCCAAATTACCAGCCACTGCACAAGTTCAATAACAAATCAATTGAACTTTAAAAGTAGAATCGATCAATCAAACTTTTGGGGTAAATTTCACCAATGGTACCTGAACTTTAGCTGGAATTTTGAAGTGGTACCTGAACTTCAAATCCTTTCACAAAAATCCCTGAACTTACACAATCTTTTCACTAATGAGCCATTACCCCGTTTCTAGGTTAACTTCCGGTCATTAGGGCCAAATTCGAATTTTATATATTTTAAAATTTTTAATTTAACCCCATTTCTTATCTTCTTTTCTTCCAGGCCCCGCCGTCGCCGCCCGCCAGTCAAAGTCGCCGGAAAATAAACTATTTCCGATTCCGGCGGGACCAATGTCATTCTCTTCGTCTTGAGACGAGGATCAATAATATCTAAACCATTTTGTCTAATTTGGCCTGTAACTTCTCGAATCTGAATTTTTCTACTCGAAAAATCCTTAAAATCGAAATTGGGTCCAAAATTTGGGGTTTTGCAAATCGTCATCAAATCTTGCAATTGAGGGGTCCTTGGAGGTCGCCCGGATGCCACGACCGCATTGGAGTTGGTGCTCCAACCCGCTGGCTGTTTCCGGCGGGTCAGAGTGTTTTCTGGCCAACTCCGGCAAAATTGACGGCGGGCATCCACTTCAATGCGGTCGTGGCATCCGGGCGACCTCAAAGAACCCTTCAATTGCAAAGATTTCATGACGATTTGCAAAACCCCCAATTTTGGACCCAATTTCGAATTTTAGGGGTTTTTCGAGTAGAAAAATTCAGATTCGAGAAGTTACAGGCCAAATTAGACAAAATGGTTTAGATATTATTGATCCTTGTCTCAAGACGAAGAGAATGACATTGGTCCCGCCGGAATCGGAAAAGGTTCATTTTCCGGCGACTTTGACCGGCGGGCGGCGGCGGCGGGGCCTAGAAGAAAAGAAAAGAATAAATGGGGTCAAATTGAAAATTTTAAAATATATAAAATTCGAATTTGGCCCTAATGACCGGAAGTTAACCTAGAAACGGGCTAATGGCTCATTAGTGAAAGGATTGTGTAAGTTCAGGGATTTTTGTAAAAGGATTTGAAGTTTAGGTACCACTTCGAAATTCCAGCTAAAGTTCAGGTACCATTGGTGAAATTTACCCCAAACTTTTGTATTGAGATCACAAAATTACTTAACAATTCATTTCGTATTAGAACAAAATTCATATAAACCTTGTCATTTTACCTTTGGGGACAACTATACATATTATTCCAATGAGGACTTTTTTTTGTATAAATGAAATCGAAATAATGTATTACAATCATTACGCTAAAACATTCGACTACGATCTACTCCCTCAGGTCCTAAAATTTTTTCTGTTTTAACATTTTTGGTCAAACGACATTCTTTGACCACAAATTAAACATAATACTAAAATTAACTAAATTATATTTAATTTATATTATAATTAAATGTATTTTTCTTATGGTCAAAATATGTCACTGTTTGATAAAAAAGTCAAGACAAGAAAAATTTTTAAGAACTGGGGGAGTATCAAACGTTACCTAAACACAACATAAACAAAACGAAAACAAAACACGTATATGTGTTAGCATCATTTTAAACACTAAAAAACCATATTTCTACTACTCCGTAAGAGTTTTCATAGTACATCTTAAGCTTGGAACTTCAAAATCAAACTATTAAGAGAAAAAGAATCAATTCCTCAGATATACAAAAAAATATCAATATGTGTGTCCAATTACAGGAATATAAGATTATCTCTCTGATATATATATATATATATATATATATATATATATATATATATATATATATATATATATATATATATATATATATATATATATATATATATATATATATATCCTTCAAACTTGTTGATATTTCTCAGCTGAGAATCACTTGTCAGCTTATATGTGACTTTGAAATACATCTTTTTCCAGCAGAGCTGAGGGAGAATTCCTCTGGTAGACAGTCTAATGAACAGAAGGAAAAGGAAGAGCTTATAACGCTGCCTTTTTCCATGCATATCTCTAAAAGCTTATTGTGTTTTTCCATTCCGGCGGGGCAACACACTGCCATAAGGAACAGTATGAAGGAATAGAAGCAGCGTCTATCCCTAGTGAAGACAGGTTTCGGGCGTATTCCTGTTATGTATACAGAAACAATCATTTTAAAAAATTACATAAAGTTGGATGAAAATTAGCTTGTGGGAATAGATATTTTTAAAACAAAACAAATACTAAGACGGGCTTTTTGGGGGACAGAGGAAGTATTATGGTTCATGGTCATAGTCTCATTTCGTTCATTGCTAATGGAGCTAAAAATTATACCGCTTTCTACAGATTTTTGGCATTTATAGGCACAAGACTGAGTACATCTTGACCCCCAGGACCCCAACGGAATTGGGATTATAGTGCCATACTCGATTGCAGTTGTTGTTGGTCATATTCTTGTCAAAATACAATGCTGAAAATGCCCACAAACCCTCATATTTAATTGTATACAGACGTATGGGATGGGGTAATATGGATAATGGGGACATTCATGGCAATATAAAATGCTGAGAATGCCCCATAGACCCTGATTTGTAACATTGGATTGTTCAATGTCAAAGAATGGGGGAGAGGGGGTAAAAACGTGTGATTTTCCCGTGATAGCAATCACCTGAATGTCGAGAAACAGCTGCATACAAATCTTGTCTGTGTCGGATATATTATGATCAGAAATGTCTGAGCTTGCTCCTGCCCTTCTTTGAGCACCCAAACGTATCTTCTGAAGCGAAGACTCTGTTTTCCGAGCCTGAGACAACAAGATTGAAATCCTATAGAAACTTTTTCTAATGCAGATGGAAAATAAGGGAAGAAGAAAACTCAGGGTCTTATTATTATTATTCAAACAAACAGTGTCTCGGCATCTGCTCACCAAATTGGCAAGGTCTGAAGCTAATTCAAAAAAACGGTCAGTGATTTTGAAGGCAGCACCTTGCAAGAGCTCGTTCCTAAGTTCCTTTGTTAGGTATCTGGTGGCCCGTTCTCCCTCCAAAAACACCTGAATGGGGTCAATGTTAATCTCAATCCATATATTACCACATTATCAAGGAGTTAATAGCGAAGGTCCAAATTTTATCCTAATCACTGCTTAGTCCCACCTAGGCACTAGGCTTCCCTTTGACCACCTACATATATACATACACACACACACACACACACACAGACATACTCCCTCTGTCCCAGATAATCTTCACACTTCCCTTTCTGGATCGAGAAATAATTGAGTTACAAACAAAGAGTTCATGAAACTCTCAAACTTACCATAGTAACATTTCACTAGAAACAAGATGCACTCAAATAATTATTAATATTTAACATTAAAATTCACAAACGGCAAGGTTGTGAATTTTGTGAACTCTTTGTTTGTGACTATAGAATTTCTCTTCTAGACTTTCCCAAAAAAATGTGGTCCACAACTCTTCTTTTTCTTCAAAACAAATTTCAACCGTCCACTTTTTACTTTTCAACATTTTTCTTCAACTCCGAGAAATCATACTGTTACAAGCAATTCCTGACGGAGTATATATATTTTTAATTTAGTCCACCTAATCACAGCTATGCTCTGCCTTAGCTCGCTCATGCACACCCAGCACTTGGGGAGGGGTCTAAAAGACACTAGAATTAAATTATTTAAATACAACAACAACAACAACAACAACCCAGTTAAATCCCACAAGAGTAGGGTCTGGGGAGGGTGTGTGTACGCAGACCTTGCCCCTACTTGAAAGTAGAGAGGCTGTTTCCAAAGAGACCCCCGGCTCAACATCGAAAGTTGCAGTGTTTGACTAACTGCTACTTCATTAATTAAAGAAGCGCAGATAGTTTAGAGATCCATTTTGATTTATTCCATCACACCCCAAAGCCAAAAATGGTGAAATTTTGACTCCATCGGAGATGATGGAAATAAATTATTTAAATACAAAAGCATAAATTTGTTATAACAACAACAACAAATCCAGTGTAATCACACAAGTGGGGTCTGTGGATGGTAGTATGTACGCAGATCTTATCTTGACCCTAAATTGCCTAACTTTATTAAGGCTATACTTTAAAAAATAAGGATGATGCTATTTATCCATTCACAAAAACCTAACACCCTTTATTCCAAGTTTGTAGTGTTTGGTATACTTTGAATGACTTTGTCCTCATGTTTGAAATTATGGAATGCTGAATCAATAATTACAAATGTATCTTTAGATTGTTTCCTAAACATTCTCCACCCCTCGCCCAAATGCATTTTTGAAAAGTACCCCAATACTAGTAATAGACTTGATTAACAATTCAGAGTTAGCAAATGCTCAGCCATTGCATATTAAAGAACGAACACAAGTCTATGAAAAGAAAATGTACCTTTAATGGTCGGAGTACACCTGAAACATATGGGGAATGCTTGACAGGTAGGGGCTTATTTGTCATTCTATATGTGGCAGTTATGCCCTTCAATTGTATAATATCCTACAGTATGTGCGAATAAGATACTTTGAGATGAATATGGTCTATAATAAATAAAAAGAGTATGCATTAAGACAGGCATCATAATCATCACCATAATCCCAATCAAGTTGGGGTCGATGGCATAAAACTAGTGTCATTAATTGTCTAAAATTATTTACCACTATATGTTCACACACGCATATGAAGAAGAGAATACCTTCACAGCCTTCTCAACTATTGTCTCAATTACTGCACTTATCACAAGGGGCAGGAGATCTTTGAGAGATTTCACACCTTGTAAAATACTCTGCTTTACAAAGTCAAGTACTTGAGTAGGGCAAGAATTGAGCAACTCAAGCACGTGATCAACGTAGGCCCCACAAATTTCCTCCGCTAAGCAATTCATATCATGAATTATCTGCAGCACAAAAATATAAGTTACATGCAGAGTTTCATAAGTGCTGTATGAGAATTAATTGCACTCTGCATATAACTAATTACGGGTGTCCATGAACTTCTGCCATTTAGAAGCCTTAAAAGAATCCTCCTACAGGAGAGCATACATACATAGACAAAGTCATCTGAGGCAGAAGAAATAGCCCACTCGCATCCTGGACTAGGATCTGCCTTGCCAGCTTCCCGTGCACTCAATCCAGCAGACAACCAACTACAATATCTGCAGTGGACAATGGCAAATGTCAACACAGTTTAGGGACTATTAATTACTTCCTCTGTCCTGATATTAAATTGCTCTTTTGCAAACTGCCTCTCTACTTTTGAGCAGGGGATCCAACTGGGTTGTTGTTGTGTTTTTCAGGGATTTTAAGAAAAAGTGAAAGTGTGTGGTTGACATTTATACACAAAAAATAATAATATGAACCACACAATTCTTTCATTTGAAAGAATGAGAATTTTATTGTGGGACTTCCGAAAGGAGTAGATAAAGACAGCAATCATGGAATTTGCCAAAAAGAGCTACAAACAAGTTATATCTGCAAAATTTAGTTAAAAGAGTATATAATTTTAAAATTTATAGGTAAGATTCCATGACTTTTAAGTGTTGTACCTTGAAAAAAAATTAATGTGGGAACTTGGTCAAACATGACTCTTCTTTGGAGATGAAGTATATGTACAACTCTCTCTCACAAACGCATACGTTCATTCATAACAAACCACTTATCTGTGCATATAACAAGAAAAACTTGCCTGGAAAGAAGTTGCAAAGATAACCGTAGAAACTTGTCAGAGCAAGAAAGCACAAGAACATCATCACTCCAGCAGGATCTCAAACACTTCAGAAGGGTAGCACTCTGCTTCAAAACTAGCTCTTGAGATCTTGGATCCTCAGAGGATGTTTGTGCAAGGCTGGGAAGCAAAAGGGCAGAATCTAAGGCCCCAGCGATCTCCTGAAATCTGGATGCAAGAATGTTATGTCACTATTGTTTTTACGAAGTAACAGCTAGAGTTACGAATTTCAAGCTGAACCCCTCTCGGATTCTCTCCCTCTCTCAGTGCCATAGTTGTTACGGCGGCTAGGCGAGGCTGGGCGCTAGAGTACCTTCCAATCGCCTAGGCGATTAGGCGCCCGCCTAGGCGTCCGCTGGGCGAGTGGGCTAAGGCGACCTTAATTGTTTTATTGGTACTGATGTAAAAGCATATACGATGAAATAATTAATTTTATAGTTATGAAATACATTACTTAGTATATACTAAAACAAGAATAGATAACACATTACTTTAAAAAAATATAAAGTAGATTTTCTTTAAAAAAATCCAGTCAAAGCCTGTCTGTCGCTAGTCCAAAAAATTCCGTATGTTTCACTCACAAAAAAATAAAAAATAAATAAAAGAAACACTTTACTTCGCCTAGTCTATCGCTAGTCAAAGCCTCAGGGGTTTCCGTCAAAACCGAAGGGTCGCGTAGATCCGGAGAATTCACCAACGCTGGACAAAACCTAAGCGATCTCCGTCGATCGCGATTCAATAGATATTACGACCTCACGATCTAAATCGCAGATCCGGACAATTCCTATGGATTTCTGATCTTCCTTGCGATTCAGATCTCAAGTCGACGCCAAATAGATGCCAAACAGACGGTAAACTGAAGCCTCAGTCGCCCAGGGAAGAAAAGGCTAGGCGACCAATTGGGCGTCCACAATACCTCGCCCAGACGCCTAAGCGTCGCCTAGGCGACGCCTTGATTTCTATGCTCAGTGCTGCTCTTTGAAATTTCATGGAATGTAAGATTGCCATAGGTAATAGAAATACTTCATGTGAGATTGCGGGAATGTAAGACTACCCTAAGCTGTTTATTCAGGAAACGTGATATTAGTCATATTTACTAATGTCAATAAATTGTTAGGGACAAAGTCATTGGAGTCTAATATATTACTAAGGTAATCTTGCAATGTCTAAGAGCCCCAAGGAGATCAGATTATCCCCCAAAAGGAAACAATACCTCATTTTCCTATGTGGAGCTAACCTCATACTGCCTCCGTCCCTCAAAAAACTTCCTATTTTCTCTTTTTGGACCTTCCAAAAAAATTCCTACTTTATTTTAATTTAAAGAAGTGAACATATTACTCAAAGAAAATCTCATCTAAACAAAATTCAACCACATATTTTTCACAATAGAAGGTAGTATTGCCTATCACAAATTACCAAAGTAATGTTAGTGTACATGAACGAAACACCTGTGTAATAAATACTAATCCAGGATGTAGCTAGTCGTACATGCCCTCCTTGCCTCTTTGGCATAATTAAGAGATGGTAAAATGAAAAGATATGTAAAAGAAAACGTGTAAAATTTGAAATAGTTAGTTTTGAAGAATGTGTGTGACTACCTTAACGAGAAATAGACCCCAACATTCCATTGCTTCATGAAATCAGTATATGCAGCTTCAGATCGAAACTTGATCACTTCAGATCTTGAAGGACAGTAACCTTGCAAAATAAGAACTTGTAAAAGATTGATGTTGACTTGTTAGCTATTTACTAGTAGATTGGAGATGAATATTCTCAACTACCTTCTAAATAAGCCAAAAAATCCAAGCTTGCTTTGTAATTTTTCAAGAACTCTGTAGGTCTTCCAGGAGAAAACACGCCTGGTTTCCCTTTTTGGATAGAAGAGTGCATCTCTCTAAGAATAGAATTTGCAAGGAAACTTGATACATGCAGGCCTGAATTTTCTGCATGACATTTAAATATAAAAATGATAACACGGTGGAGAATTTGGGAAATTTGTTATGGTCCAACCAAATGATGGAAATGTAAAGAGTCAAAATTCTAGTATGAACACGCACACAGATAATAATTGACTGATGTTTACACATTGATGCTAAAGAATCTAGGAATTGTTCACAAATTTATTATATATATATATATATACACACACACACACAGTCTAAGGACTAGCTATGAACGGCTAATCGATCCAGACACTACACGATGCTCAAGAGAAGGATGGCAATAAATCATCTCAAATGATGAGTTAGCAGAAAGAAGGGATCAAAGTATGCTCATGAAGGAATCCATTTCTTTATTTTAACATGAGAACAGGATGTTTACTCTATCACAGCATGTGCAAAGAAAGTGTAGGGATGAGTGAAACTTGTAGTCAAGAGCAAAATCCATAGGTGATCGGTACAAAATGAGCAGGCTTAGCAAGAAGGCAAGAAGACATTATAATTGTATCCAAGGACGTCTACTCTATGAAGAAGAAGAGGTAACAGCTATCTCCTCTGAACATCTACCCTTTTATCAGCAAAGAAAAGAATTCTAGCAGTCCGGATGTACTATATGTCTCTAGTCTATATGAAACTAAAAGATATCAAATTCACAAATGGAGGTGGTAACTATTCTTACTAAAGGCTAAAGCTCATTAAAAAAAGAAATAATCAGAAAAGAAAACAATATCTAATACTTGGAATATTTTTTGGGGAAGTGGTATGCAGCATATGTGATAGGAATTCACAAGAAACCTTGAGTGTGCATTATCTAAATCAAAATGCAAAACCACTGTAATTTAATGCTAATAGAAAAATAGAGCCATACCAGTTGACGAAATATCCAGTAAAAATTTACAATCTGCAACTATATAATCCTTAATTTTTTCATAGTCCTGTTCAAGTCCATCCACAGATGCCCCAGAAATTCCAAGACCTTGTGGGATGACTTTATGGATCAATGGTGCCACCACAGTTGAGCGAAATATATCTTCAGCATTCCTAGTATTATCAATGGCAGCATATGCACGCAAACAATTGTAGACTGCGTTTGTATCCCTATGTTCAAGTCCATCAACAAGAGTATGTCCAAGGCAAGTCTCCAATAATGAGCTAGCATTCAGTGTCCTCTTCTCCATGTTCTCAATGAAAGGCATATTCTGTACTGCCATCACACAGAAAAGTGCATAAGCTGTCAAAACAACTATAGTACTTCATGGAAGATTAACATTATAGCTCTCCTGTCACTAATATAGTATGATCCACATGGGCACATAGGATAAAAAACACATCATCATCACCGCCACTTACGACTTGGCCTGAGTTTATAACTCCATAAAAAAACTTAGGGACAAAGTTCTACTCCAGATGCCCTCTTAATTGGAACAATCTAAAAACACTATGCTACAACTTATATATACAAAGCAGTAAAAAATTAGCATTCCTATTGTAAATCTTCACAACAACTACCTAAAGTAACATTAATGTTATGAAACAGAACAAGGCAACACAAATATCACACCCAAAAAATCAAGGAAACACATCCAAATGAAAACAGAATGGGTTTAATGCCATCAAAGAATTAGATAAAGTTAAAGACTAAAAGATTCAATTGTCACAGTATGGGGACAAATTCAGACCTGTGAATGAGAGATGTAGAACTTCAGTCTATTCATCTCGCTTGCAATTCTCTCAAGATGCATGCTTTGAGTTTCTCTCAGATTCGATCCCTTCTCAGTATGCTGAAACGAGACCCCATTGCTTAAATAACCATTTTCCGCATAACTGACTATTCCATTTGCAAAATTGGCTGTTCCACTTGGCAATTCCTTGATCAATTTCTCTACCTGTATTTAAGGTTGTGTAATTCAGTTTGGTTTTATAGAAGATGACATGAACTAGCTTCAATAAGAAAAGACAGTTGAACTGGAGAATCCCAGCTTCACCTTCGACACAACGTGGAATGTATCAAGCAAGAGCTCTAGAACTTCCCTAGCCTCACCGGCATCTGCTCTCTGCTTGAGCCGTGAGTTGAGAGCGCCGAGAGAGCTTTCCACGGCCTCCCGGAAAGTCGAGATCTTGTGGCGGATCTCGAGCAAAGGGGCACGCATACGCACAACGGCGGCGTCAACGTCGGTCAGCTTGGTACTGAGGCTGACGAAATCGCCGTAGTCACGGTTGATTAGGTCGACGAGGTCGCGTTGAAGGGATGAGAGATGAGACCGGAGCTCCGAACGGAGAGTGTCGAGCGGGACGAATGTGCGGAGGTCTGAAATGTACGTCTCCGCGTCGAAGTCCGGAGCCAGGAAGAGAGAAGGATTTAGCCATTGCGGTGGGTCGGCGTCTGTCGGATCACCAAAAAGGTCTGTGGCGGATCGCGGCGGGGCTCCCGGCGTCGACGGCGGCCGCTGATGAGAGTATAGATCCGTCATTCTCTCTGCCAGCGACTCAAAGTGAGCGCAACGGCGTTAGATCTATCTAATGATAACTGATCTTTTTCCAGGTGGAGTATTACATTTTTTTTCTTTTTTCCCCTTTTTTCATTTAGAAGGGAACCAAACCAACAATTTTGAAATCGAATGACGAATGGATATCGACCAGAATTAGTATCAATTTCTTTTTCTTAATTTCTTCTATGTTTTAATGGTAATTTTCAATTTGTTTGAGTTTAACTCATTCTCCAAAAAAATAACCTACCAAGAAGAAAATATGGAGTAAAATATATAAATTTTAACCTCAAAAACTCAAAAAATAAATTATTCAAATCAGAACTAATAACGAAATGCGAACCGTGATAGTACCGGAATCGTCCCAACACGACACGGGTACCGATTCCTCTAAAATGGGTAGCGAAACCAAACCGATCGTATCCCCTCCTATGTGGAATGCTCAATCGAGTGTCTCACACTCCGACTTGATAGAATACTGTATAATCTTATCATGGTTCTTAGAAAGGTAGCATCTATTCACACACAAAGGACTACTCTGTATCATATTAGATAAATTGTTCATTGTCGTTGTCGGAAATTAATTTTAACAGACTTTACATTCCGCTCAAGACCATATAAGTTACACATGCAGGTGATAAAACTACTTGTACTTTAGAATTATGCTTGGATGCCATGATTTTGAGATCTTTTTTTACAAATATTTACAAACACAGAACAACATCGATATAATTTTCCAATTCCAAGCATCCGGCATTGCTAATATTATATTTTGAACAAAATGAGTATGTTAATTATATACATTGCTAAATTAAGTCACATCATATACATTGCAAAATCGTATGGGTTGTATCATCAACATATTCATCATGGAACACTTCATATATTTTTTTCGCTTATTCATCCAAACTCATTTGGGTATGTTTGGAAACTAGGAATTCATTTCAATTATTAGATTTCAATTCTAAAATTTAAGGGTCTGGAATTCAAATAACAAAGGGAAGTATAATTTGTAATTCAGCTTTGTGTGAAATTATAAAAATATGACCCAAAACCAAATCTAAATTTTTTTGGACACCCAAATATGTAAATTGAGTCAAATTTGAAATTCAAATTCAAATATCATAGCAAGGCACAAAATACACAATGGTATGATTGTCAACTCAATTTCAAAGAAATTTACACTTTTCTTGTTTGGATGTCTCAAAAATAACTTCACATTTCTACTCTTTTGGTAAAGAAAATATGACCAACAAAACTTCTCACTCTTTCAAACAAATTTCATCCATGCTTTCTCGCTTTTCAACACTTTTCTAGAACTCTGTACACTCAAATAATGAAGTTCTTTTTGGGACGGAGGAAGTATTTGGTGAATTCACTAATTTAATAAGATGAGAGTATCATTTCCAAACAACAGAGCCATAAGTGAAGGGTCTTCATCCAGCACCAGCATGTTCCCCAACTCTCCTTCTGCAAGCACACAAATCATAATATGAACTTTCCTAAAAAAGTTTGTTTCTTGGTTCTTTGTATAGAAATGTGAGATCCATCCCAAAACTAATTGAGAATGAGAAGAGTAACTCATACTCTTATATACTCCGTATTAGTCTTTTTTAGCCTTAACATTCGATGTGAGAATTTCTATCCTCAAGACTGCCCATGCTTGGGAAGTATTGGATGGCAATGACAAGAAAAAACATGGATCCTAATGTCCATAACTGATTACCATATAATACAGTCTTTTAGGTTGTATATTTTAAAACTATAGGAGATGATCAAAGAGATCTAAATATCATCTATTTCACACCCATAATCCCCAGACCATACTTTCGTGGGATTCTACTAGGTTGTGTTGTTGTAACCCTAAGTCCTAACCACATAACATCGTGGGCTGAGAGGCCTCACCTTTCATATGCTACAGTGAACACTATGCGACCCTGACAATTGAAGCTTCCTTTGTTCTTCACTCAATACTTGATAAGTGGCGAACAAAATCGGTGTGCAGTGCATGTCCACCCTGTGGCATGTGAAATGCGAAGTATAAGTTAAGAAATATTTTATTACTCGAATTAAATAATGCCGAGAGCTCTACATTCATAAAACATGCTCCTTAAAACATTGATTGTGTACTTGGAAATATATCATTTGCAAAATGAATGAAAAGAGGGGGAAATGGATATGTAGTGTATTTTGGCTCAAATTTACAAAACAGAACAATTATTTTGAAAATATGTAGATATTAGATTGGATTGAGAAAGTTAGGAACATACCTTATAGACAACTATGTGCGCTACAGGAAGTCCCTGACTTCCAGCTCTAGCAAGAAGTGAAAGATCCCCAATAAGATCCAATACCTTGTGTCTGCAGGGCTCATCGTCGTAACGGAGGGGTGGATTCAACCAGCCTCTACTCTCACTGTAGACAATGTACCAGGTCAGTAGGTGTTCATTGGTTAGCATGAAAAAGGTTATCCATGTGCTAAAGGGTGATAAAACAAAGCTCCATTTCTTAGTGTTATACGAGGAAATAACATATCTTTAGTTAAATAGTGTGTTTCTAGAATCTGCACAGAGTATAAAAATTCATCGTCATTTTATTTCAATGTATCCATATAATGTAAGAAAAAATAATAACAGATACATCAATCCTCCCCTTCACTTCAAAACCATAACCGAAACATCTTTGGAGCAAGAAGTTATCAACATATTGCAATAACTGTAATTACCACTCAAGATAAAGAAAGGTATTTCAAAGAAACAAAAACAGTAGGGTAAACATTTCAATGTATTGAGAGTTGAGACATAATTTATCCATACATGATCCTTTAAATGGACCTTTGGAATGATGATGATGATGATGATGCTAATGATAGCAATGAAATGAAAGCAGGAAGAGCGTGAAGGATTAGAGATGCCCTAAAATGAAAAACTAGGTCTCTAAAATGTTTGGCATATCTACTTGTCTTAATATCCATGTTGTTAAATGCCGATGGAACAAAATAGACATAGAAATTACACAAAATCACAATATTTCATGCAGTTTTATTAAGCACTCCATAAAATATACGAAGCACTTCAATACATAACCTACAAACAATAGCACTTTCTAGAGAGCCACCCTGAATGAGTCCTGATTGCCAAATCTTTTCTACCTGAACATAAATTCAAAAAGCATAATTATGATTAAAATCTCAAAAAAGAAATCCATCAAGAACGTAAGATATTGTAATAAAGCCACATGCCAATAAAGTAACACAATGAAAAGATTTAAATGATTAAGACGAGAAAAATGAAAAGGAATGAAGGTGAGATATATAACTCATTTAAACTGATTTGGCTTTATGTATAAGGCTTAAACTGCCCTTTAATAACTTCTCAATCATTTGGTGTCATTGAACATCTATGATAGATGGAAGAGATGGAAAATTCAATAGATTTGGATACATAAGAATACCAATAGCTAAGAGCTTCTTGATAGCGAACCTGCTCATAAATGCAAAATGTTCTTGAAGAAGCTATTTGCTCCACATAGACACAATTATCTAAAAATGAACAAGAAAACCACTGACACCCAATTGCTGGTGCCTGCAAGATAGGAAACATTATAGCCCAAAGTGAATAGATATTACAGAGTAATATTTTTCATTTTCAATTATGGAATACGAATGTTTGTCAATCCACATTATGGCAAGTTTAATATTTCTACTGACAAACTTAAAAAAAAATCGACCCATTAGTACTCTGTTAAATAAAGAAATGCCCCATACATGAACAAAAAGAAGAATATGGCACCAAAGTAACAATCGAAGTAACCCGAACCAGAGTGAATTTGAAATTCAAAGGGATTACTAGGATATTTCATGTTGAACTCTTCGACAAACAGACATCTAATGGTAACCATCAATCATATAATTATACCTGTGGAAAGTTAATTCCATAGCTGATCCTGATGTTTGATGAAGGGAATGCAGCAATAAAGGCGTCATTTTTCCACATGTGAATAGGTTCATTGACATAAGGTGCCAACTTATCATAGTTTTCCCCACTGGGATGAACCGCTACCTCCAATCCAACTTCTTGTATCGCTCTCACCCATTCCCTTGCAGACCCATCAAATATAGGAACCTGCATGCATTAGTCTCAGGAAACGAATCTGTTGGTACAACTAAATTGTACGAAGTTCTATGTACTAATGATCTGACATCAAGAAAAAATCCCCATAATCAACATAATAAATACTTCTAGAGTGTGGATCATCATAATACAAAACGGAAAGATTTTGAAAATTATTTCCGGGGAAAAAATATAAATATGAAGAGAAGTGTTCTTTACCTCAACAGACTGATCATCAGAGACGGAGTTTTCAACTTCGATTCGACAATTGTCTATACCACATGCCTCTAGAGCAGAAAGCAAGTGCTCAACAGTTCTCACACTGTACCCATCCTTGCACAATGTGGTGCACAGACGCGACTCCCTGGCAAACCCAATAGACGCATCGATCCGATTCGACCCAAGCGCAAAGTACCTGCCTTCACCTGCAAGTTCCGGCCGAATTCTCACGGTTGATTCCTTGCCTGAGTGGAGCCCCAGTCCGGTTCGTTCAATACAACTCGATATTGTTTGCTGGATCTTACCGGTCTGCAAAATTGAAAGTTAAATTACGCCTACGAATAAATATTCCGATTAGATTATCACTTATCAGTGCAGAAAAGGAGTCATGATGAACATAGAATTAGCTGTGTGTGCGCGTAAAAGGAAGAGAAGGTACAGATTTCCAGGAGATGACCGGCGGCGAGCACTTGAAGGCTGCTTTAATGGCACGGGAGGCGGCCATTAGTTTCATAAAACTTCACATTTAGCGCAGAACAGTGAGTTCAGAGGATGATCGGAAAATGGAGAAGGAGCTAGGGTTCAATTCAGCACTGCGATTTTCCCTCCAAATTCTGCTTCCATACTGGGCGCTGCTTCTGGAGCCGCTCAAATGACACTGTGGCCGGTGTCATCATTTGACACTGGTTGAGGGGTTCTGATTGGGTTAGGGGTATAGCTGTAAATTAATACTCCTAGTATAATTCTATCGTGTGCAATGCTAGGTTCACAAATAAAATGGACATAAAGTTTATAAATTTATTATTTATGATTTAAAATGCTCATTTTAAAATTATTTTATGGTATGTTTCGGAACGTAGATTTGAATATCAAATTCGGATTTGGCTCACATTTCATGTTTGAAAAACTTAAAAATTTTGAATTTGGATTTGAGCCAAATTCTTCTCATTCATAACAAAGTTTATCTTGAAATCCATGCATTTCCTCTTGTCATTTGAAATTCAAAATTTCAAATTTTGGAATTGAAGTGCACGAATTGAAATGAAATCCTAGTTGTTAAACACTACCTTAGATTATTTTATTTTTTATTGAATTTGGTAAGTTTGTGAGATTTGTAACCTATTTTGTTTGTGAACCAAACATTTCTCAATCGAATATATCATATGTAGGACAGACGAATTGAATACGAATCCCTGAGAATATTTGATCTAAATCCGAATACAAATATCATCCGAAACTAGCTAATAACTGATACATAACCTCAAAAAAGGTAAAATAAATAGTGTGAATATCTTCAATATAGACACTATATATATATATATAGTGTAGATATGTTGATATTTGTACAATCAACAGCATCATCATTGTTAATATTATTAATTAGCAAAAATAATACTACTGATTTAGCAAATACTTGTGCCAACCAGCAATTCAGTGGAACTACAAACCAAGCAATGAGATTCTGCTGAGGAGGTGATTCTCAGCCATCAAATAAGATAAGAGTATAAAGAATGAAATGGAGAAGAGGAGTTTGGAGTGTATGTATAGCAATCATTTCCAAGCAACAGAGTCAATCTCATCTCTGGCAGACTTGTACAGCTCCAGCCTCTTGGCTATGGCCTCCCTCTTTGCCATAAGTGAAGGGTCTTCATCCAGCATTTTCCCCAACTGCTCCTTCTGCATCCACACACATCACCCAATGAACTTCCTTAAATATATTCTTTTTTTCTTCCCATGCTTGCATTGGATCACAAATGTCAAAAGAAAAAAGAAAAAACCCAGTATAGTTCTAACACTGCTGGGGGGGGGGGGGGGGGGGGG